AGTTTTCAAATCTTGATTGGCAAATGCGATCACGCGTTGCTCCACTACGAAATCGTCGTGAAGTTCATTCGAAACGTTTATCGAATGGTAGCGTAATCGAAACGTCAAATAATGATACAACCCAGAGAATTATCTTGCCAACAAATGATACATTGAATAAACAACAAAATAGTACCGATATCGATATGCAAAGATCCAAACGCGAAACACCCGAATGTGTAATCAATTATAATTCGGCGAGGCAATTGTTTATCGGTTGTTCGCAATCAAATGTGGTCGAAGTGAAACCACATTGTAGCGACGACGGTGACGAAGGTAATTTTTCCATAAATCGAATAATTGAATAATCAATTCCCTTTCGTCTTTCGTTTAAACTAATATTTGTCATTCATGTCATTTTCGTAATCTAGTATACAATTGCCAAGGTTCGTGGACTGAAAATACAACAACATTTATAGTAGCAACGCATTCGGGTTCTCAGCATGCCGTTTGCATTAGTTATCAATCAATTGACACGATAAATGTTCGACTATACGTAGGTGATTCGTGCTATCGTTCGATTCCATTGCAAACATCCGATCATCATTTAGCAGCTAATCTCACTGTAATTGGTAAGTCTTAAACAAAGGAATTTGCCGATTTATTTTTATATCGTATTGTATAACCAAGCAGCAAATATTAATTTTTTTTTCAATTTCGTTTTCGCAGGAAAATGTACTGACGTTAGTTCGGCATCAGCAACGGTTATTAACTGGAATGTTTTGCACATAACATTACTCTTCACAATAATTGCACTCATCAGATGTAGATGATTTAATTGAAACTAAACCAAAAATTTTTGAAGAATCGATACAAAACAAGAAGAAAAACACATTCATTTAGTCAGTATAATAAATATCATCGATATCATGAAGTAAAAGAATTTCGAAAAAAATGAAACATCATAACAAGCCAACTGAAAAAAAAAACAAAAACAAAATATTTCTCGAAGAAAAACAAATATATAATACGATTGTGCATTTCTGTTGAAAACAGAAAATAAAACAAAAACAAATCGAAAGCATTTTGCGATATTATTTAATGGCGAACAATACGAACAACAAAAACTAAGAAAATGTGCATACTCATCATTAAGTATAAGAAGAAATAAAAATGAAAGACAGAAAGACAGAAGAAATCTCATTCCAGTGATTTAACGACACGACAATGTTTGAAGACGAACAATTGCATTTCACAGCAACGTAGATTTTGAAAAACCATTACAAATAAACGAATTTGTGTTATGTATGCATATGGTTTGGATTGGAAACAAACATAGACACAACACACTCACTCATACCTACAACACAAACAGAATGTATTCGATAAAGATTTTAACTTTGAAATCTGAACAGATTATATTATAATGAATATAACAAAAAAAAGACATGGATACTTTGTATCCGGGACTCATGCCGTTTCATTCGGAGCCGCATGAGTCTTGCTGAGAAATGTGCAGACATTCATTTTTGCATACATTTCTGTTGTCGCATTGAGCAGCATAGATATAACAGCATGCGGCCACACAACACTCACCCTATATCGCCAAAATATATCGTTGCCACAGACTATTATATCTATGCACATACCATGGATGTATTTATGCAAAAATGAATTGCTGGACGTGTGTGTGTATGTATGCAATCGAATAATTCTCTTAAATTCTTTAATAAAATTCCACCCACGAGCTCACACACACACACAGCAACCGCACAAAGATCTTTGCATATGTCGATCGATTTCCTCTTTTGAAAATTATTGTGATTCGTGCATGTAAATAGAATTGAATCAGTTGAGATATGAATGTCACCGAGAGTGGAAATAAAATATCAACTGACGGTTTTTTTTAATTTGAAAAGACACGTATTCGTTGATAGAATTCGGCTTGTATTTATAATGTGTTGGATTTAGAAAAAAAACTCAGCAAGCTAATCTTAATATGATCTTGATGTTCTTAACTGGTTGTCACTTTACACATGAATAAAATGAAACCAGTTTGTTCGCGCCTTTTTATTAAATTATTTTTTCAACTGATTTTTTTTAATTTGTCAAATATACTTACTTTAGAGTACATATTTATAAACAACACTGCAAATGAGAGAACAAACAAACATTTACGAAGAGAAAGAAGAAGATGAAGAAATAATACAAAAAAATGAAACAATTGCAACTTATTTACGATTTGTGATTTTAATTGTCAGGTACGATTATCGATTGTCACAATAATAGAGATTGACCGAAATTTTTCACAAATAAATTATAAAATACAGACAAGTGACGAAAAATTTGTTCATATATAGGTTTCAATGACATCTATTTTCAAATGTATAGTTACTACAAAAATCGATGAGAAACAGTTCCATGCCCTTACCATACTATTCCTAATTAATTCCGGCTACTGTTTACTGAGCCCTGCGGTCGAACCTTCGGGCTCAACAATATTTTTTGACCATTTGTTTAATTCATTTCTTTTTTGTTGACGAATAAGAACAAGTTTATAAAAAATGGAATATGCATTTAAAGTAAATTCTTAATTGAATGAGCTAGAGAAAAATTCCGACTTTTATATAAATTTTTTATTTCAAGTCGGCTTTTCATTCTAACACATTCAATTTTTACTCAATTTGTTCATAGATAAATTAAAATAAAAAAAAAACAAAGATTTTTGTGCTTTGCTTTATAATAATATTAAATTTATATAACTGCTGCTTGCAAAATATATGAACATTTGTACGAATAACGGTCAATCTCTCTTATTTATCACATCGGTATGAACAAACGAGGGCTGAAAGATTTAAATGTTGTCACTGCTTTCACATGCAGTTTCATAAAATGATCATATAGTTTGTTTGTTTATTTTTTTTTTTTTAAATAAAAAAAGAAATACTGAAAAGAGATTTTGTTTGTTTGTCTTTGTTCAACACCGGCATTCAAATCAAGAAACTATTTGTTTTTGTTTAATTATTTTTTGAAAATAATGAAATAGACATCACAAAGACAAACACCCGAATTGAATTGATAAAATTAAATAATTTAAGTAGATAAAACGGTTTCCAATGTTCTAACAAAGCATTATAAATGAATAAAAGAAAATGATTATATAAAAAATTGAAACAAACAGAAAAAATATATTGTTATTAAAATTAAATTAAGAATAAGTTTCAATAACTGTCTCCGTTCTAAGTATCGCATTAACAATTATGACGTTATGCATAAAACTTTGAAACTCTCGTGAAATGTACCGATTTTATCATATGTATAAATATCGCATATTTTCATTGTATAGAGAGAAACAGTTTCGCAGCATTACTTTTCTCGAGAGCAAAACGAACTCTTTTTTAATGCGCGCATCCCCCAGCCCCCAAATATAATTTCTAGTTTCTCTTCATTCCGTTTACAAATGCACCAATTTCAATTCATATCGAATATCCTTCATAAGTTTGCTGATAGTCCAATTCCATAATAATAATTCAATGTTATTTTTCAACAGTCAAACACAAACACACATACGTAGACAATTTTCCAACTAAAATCTCCCTTGGCAAATGTAGATAACATTATAATCAGGAATTGTTCCACTGAGGAGGCAATTTTGGAGATTTATTGAGAGAATGCTGAAGAAGCATTTTCTCATTTGCTCCAACACCAATCCGCCTCCTTAGAGGAACTATCTCTGATTACTCCAATTCAAATTGAAATAGTCATTTATTGAAATTGGGTTGTCGATGATGAAATCATGTGACGCATTAAGTATCCAGCACCATTTTTCCCCTTGGTCCTAATACATAAATACAGATGTTTCTATATTGTGTCCATTTGGATTCTAAGGATCGTATAATTTTGTGACGAGACACAAGCCATGTGAAATAATTTAAGGAGAATAGAAGGTTCTTCACAGTAGATGTAATTGAAAGTGATGGTGCAAATTCAGAAGAAATCGTGTTATTTAAAAGAAACTACATAGATTAAATAGGCAAAATTGATTGCAACGAAAAAAAACATACAGTGATGGACTTGAATGAACTTATGACCTCAACCACTCTTGCATAAAAATTAATTAACAACCAACAACAACAACAACCACAACCAAAAGAACAAAAGATATTATTATATAAATGGTAAATTAGTATTATTTTTCCGAAATAAAATGCAACCGACACACATACACCACAACAAAATAAATGCAATGAGAAGGAGAGGGTGAGAGATGAGTCAATATTGTTTTTTTTGTGTATGTAAATAAAACGACAAATGTAGGTAATAAACAAACAAACAAAATTGCTATGCTGCATTCATAAGCGGTGCCAGTTTTTGGGCGCAGCTTAGCAATATATAGTATATATATTTTTCTTTATCCTCATGCATTTTACTAAATAAAACGAACAAAAAGAGAGAAAAAAAAGGGGAAAGAATGATAACAAAAAACGAAACAACAAATGTTGAAACAAAAAGAAAAATCGAATGAAATGGATAGATTCAAATTTCGACAAAGTGATAGCAAATTAATTTCTGCACAAATTTTGTGTTGCGCCAATTAAATTTCCTTCTTTTATTGTACATTTTTTTTCCAGCGGTCTCTCAGTGTAAATTTTCGGTTCCTATTTTTTATGACACAAGCACAAAACGGCACGAAATTCCGTAATGGATTCGATAAAAACTGCATTGAAATGATGTCCCCCCGTTGGTAAATCGAAATGATATTGAGTTCAAATTTCGATGTTTGAGATGGGATTATCGCTTGGTAACATTTCAATATTGATTAGTGATGATGAATGAAGCCACAAATAAATCACACAAACAAACAAAACACAAACACACATACAAACACATGTACGAACATTTCTTTTTATATGTTTCAAATATAAAAAATTCCTCACGTATTTGTATTAGAATTAATAAACGAAAAAAAAACTTTATTAATTAATAAAAAAAAATCAAATGAATCTGAATCGTTTTTTTTAAATTATTTTTTTTTACTTTTTATTTACTCTTCGAAAAAGTTCCCACGATACTTTTAAATCAAACGTAAAATACGGTAAATATAGCAGTATCGAGAGGATTTGAAAAAATTGTCATTGACCCACAGGGATCCGAGGCAATTTCATACATTATTTACAATAATTTTCAGTACAATTCATATCTTTATGTTGTTTGTGAAGATGGAGGCAGCATAATATAAACAAATTCACCTATTTAGTTGGCTTGATTTAGTGGATTTTGTGATGACTTAGTCCATTCCTTAAATAATATCTGTTTCCATTGAGAAAGTCGCATCGATGGATTTTCAGCTTTAATTCGAGGTAGATTTTCGGCTTCGTATGCCTTAAATGCAGCCTTTAACCGTTTTTCCGGATGTTTGTCTGCCGTACCCTCAGTCATGCTATATAATTCAAATAAACATTGTAAGTAATGATGATTTTTTATTTTTTTTGTTACTGCCGATTGAAAAAACAACTGGTATTTTGTAATTGGCTACAAACCTGAGTGCTTTGATCGCTTCATCGATGCCAGACGCTTCAATTGCTTCTGGATCTAGTCTATTCAAATTTTCGATAAGTGGTTCTGCAATCACAAGTTTTGTATCCTTCTCCTGAAAATATTAAATAAATATCAATTAGCACAAATTAGCATGGTAATATTGTCACTTCAAAATATAAAAAAAATGTGGTGGCATCACTTACTGGTTCTTTGTTTGATTTATAAATATTTTCGACAACCTTCTGGCGACGTTCATTTTCGGCATTGATTTGAGCCTGTGTAACCTTTTGAATCGAAGGTTTCGATGCGGTTTTAATGGATGCCATTTCTTGTTCTAGCATCGCTTTATTCTCAGCCTTTCTTCGAAGTAATTCAGCCTTTTTTCGTTCTTCTTCCTCTTTTCGGCCCTTCTTTTTAGCCAATTGTTTATCGTCGTCAGTCCATAGTGCATCTTCAGCAGCTTTAGTTACCTTCTCTTGGACAGCTTTCTTTTGGGTTGCTTTACGTTCGCGGGCTTCAACCGCTTTCGAATTTGTTCCCATCTTTTTCGGCATGATTGAATTTGACTTTTTTTTATTCTACACCAAATCGTAGCGACTTATTTTTATATTTGACAAATAACTTACAGTCAATGACACCTGTCAAAATATTTGGCACTTTTTCTTTTTCTCTCGCTGTCTTCAAGTTTTCTAGAAGTTTTGCCATATTGACAGCTATAATTACTTGCAGTTTATACCAAGAAATTGATTGAATTCATAAAATGAAAAAAGAGAGATGAAGTAAAAAAAAGAAATTCAACCAAAACCTTTCATTTATACATCAAATTAAACATTTAATTCACAATTTGTACAACGTCATCTTTTGCTGGAAATTTTAAGTATTTATTCGAAGATTTAAACGCATTCGATATATTCATGAACCGATTCTCACAGATTAAGGGTTATACATCTCAGACACAATCCCACCATATACAAAAATACTGGGTGACTCCACTTGCAGCGTCTTTGCTAAATTTGCAGCGTCTGAAATTTTTTATTTTTTTATTTCAAGTGCAATTTTAAAGAATGCTTGAAGCGGTTCGTTGAAAGTTTTTCGTTCAAAAACAAGTACTTGAGACAACCAAAAATAGAAGAAATCATCTTTTCGCCAAGGCCGAGCAATTAAAAAAAATTGAAAATAAAATTTGATTTTGATATGGAAACACAATTGAATCGCTCAAGAAATGCACTGACTTTATTATTTTCGTATATGGTCATTCTTCATTTGGCACGAGTTGCATGGACTTTAGTGTGCATGATTTCCAAGGCTACATGCACTGCATCGCGAATTTTTTTTAAACAGTTGGAGCCAGCAACAGTGCACACACAAAACAAAAAAAAACACAACCGAAACGTTGTGTGAACTTTTTGCAACGTTTTCGTTTTTATATTTAAATGGAAGAATGTGCACAAATAAAATGCCGCACAAATTAAAAGAAAAAAATAAAGATTTTGCAATAACTTGCGTGAAGTATGTGCATTGTGCACTCAAAAGTGTGCACAATCGTGAAGCGGCTGTATTTCTCTCCATCCACGTATTTTAATTAACGAATATAAGTTGATGAAGGTACAAACTAATCGGCGATTATCAAAAATATTTTCTGTTAAACTGTGAAGCATTTTATATTGAGAGTGTCCAATTATCGGTTGAAGCTTGAAGTGTACGGCAGAGAAATGATGGCGGCGGCGGCTACAACGATGACAACAACAACAGCCACAGCAGTTGCATTTGAATTGTGCATTAAAAGGTGCATGTATACCGTTCTCATAAGTGGTTATCCATAAAGTGATTGCAATTTAGCGCGCAGTCATCATACGGAAATCAAGTTTTCTTTTCGTTTCTTTTTTCGCATTGCTTTCTTAAAGGCTATTGACATTTCAAAGACCCCATATAATATTTGTTCCTGCTTCAATAATTATTTCATGTGTTCTCTCGCGCGCTCTCTCGGCCTTTTTGCATATGAAAATTATAATTGCATTCGACATGTGTACGATACACATGCACAAAGAATGAAATGAAAAAAAAATGAGACCCGGCGCGCACATACAAACAACATTTGGTTGTTATAAGAAACATTTTAATTTCGATCCAAATGTTTGCGTTGTGGTTCTTTCGTCTGTCTCCTGTTTTATTTCAAAGTAACATTTAATCGTCTCCTTGTATCGCCACATGATAATGATACACATTCGATGGAAAAGAAATTATCTGACTTGGACCAAGCACTTATCATTGCCATTGCGATGCAAATGAAATTGCCCAGAATAATTACTGTCAGTGGTGCCTATATCATATTGTGGCATAAGTGAGATGGTAGAAGAAGTAGCACAAACGAAATATAAAAAAATAAAAAGAAGAAAAAGAAAAAGAAATGAGTCTGTGCATAAGGTAAACGGCAAGCAAAATGCCGCTAATCTCACCTCACCAATGCAACAACGGCATTGAGGCCAGAGCCAAACAAATATACATGCCTATTGCAAAAGTCATAAATAACAATTAATAGAAATCATAGGTGCATCAGTTGCCGTCTAACGGAACACATTTAGCAATGAAAGGATTACTTCACTGTGTTGTGTGATTGCTGTTCTGGATGTTGCTTTGTTCTCTCTTGCGCTCTCACACATATATATACATGAAACTATTATTATAATTATGTGTATTGTTTATGTATAAAAAAACATGCGGGATGAATTTGAATATCCATCTTTTATTCGACTCTTCAGATTTCTAAAGGAATCCGTCGAAAAAAAAATCTGTACCCAACGAGAATATATGTATAGTCGTCTGCAAAGTACAAATGAAGAGATTTTACATTTACGAGATGTGGATAAAAAGATATGAATAGCGAGTATAAGAACGGCTAAAGAGTCCAACTGAAAAAAAAGTCTGTCAAGGGAAAAGAGTTCAATTTAATGATTCTCTCTTTACATATTCTTTCTTTGCTTTGCCGTTTTCACGTTTCGTTCCATCTTAAATCACACTAATTTCGTGTATATTGTTACGAACGGCAGAAAGAGAGATTGTGAGTGCTCAGTAAAAGTATTGAATAACATACACCCTTTCGTCAACGCCGTGCTATCATCGCACACAAGAGAATGATTAATTCATGCTTAAGAGCTTTTTTCCCTTCTTTGGTTAGTAATTAGTTTGAATTTGCTTATACATGCATATTACGTGTCGCAATGCTCATGTGAATGTTCTGACTGTCGTCTTCACCATCGTTGCCGTCGTCGTCGTCGTCGTTGTCGTCGTCCTCGAATGGAGAGGAGAGCAATGCATAAAAAAAGAATACGGCTGATGTCTGATCTCTGACTGCCGTCTTTATGTGTTGTAAACAACATTTTTTTTCGCTTCCTTCAGAAATCGTCGTAAAACAGCCGAAAGTATCGCAACATACATACATTGAAAACAATACACGAATATTTCCGTTTTTCGCCATAATAATTTCAGCAGATGGGACGACTAAAGCTATAGAAGAGCTATTCTGCAAAAAAAAAACGAAGTTGCACATGAAAATTTCTTTGTTTGAGGTTTTTTGCATACAAAGGATGAATGTAATGGTGAGAGAGAGAGAGAGAGAGAGAGAGAGAAAGAAAAAGAAAAAAAACGAAAGTGCCTGCTCAATGCAGTTTTTTGTTCAAACACATCATACTTGTTAGCATACATACATAGGATTGGGCATAAGCGCACAAAAGATCCTGTGCACGGGATCTGGGTACAATTCGGCTTCCGAATGTCAAATTTTTACATATTCACTTTCTCAAAGTGAATGCATTGTGTTTGACGCGTAAAAGAGCCCGAACACACCATACACAAAAAAAAAAAAATTAAACCGTCATCAGAGTGCTCATTCAAAATTATGCAAACGAGAAATAACAGTTCTAGTTTTTTTTCCTCTTTGTTATTTACCAAACAACAAACGATCCGACCGTTTCCGATGCAAAACCTTCATCTATAAGTCATGGTTGAATGGCTGAATCCTGATCAATTCTAACTGCAATCACTGCCGATGCGTGCACTCTTTACACGTACACAAAACATTGAAACAATATCCTCGGCGTGCATCGTATTTTATGCTGATAATTGCAGGCGATGCACGAAAATCTATATAAGCCTGTGTTGGTGTGTGTGCATCAGCGAACGAATCGCGTTCAATGCACCACATACATGTATGCATATCGACCCGTGCATATTGCATATTTTTATTAATAATTTGCATTTTTATATTTTCGCCAAGCTCCATTTGATACCTTATGCCGGGTAATAAAAAAAAATTGTTTCAGGCTATGTATCTCTCATTGCAACCATACTCATCCTGTATGCGTATCATTTATATCGCCCTATCTCAATTTATCTCATTCTCTCGTGTTGATCGAAATATGTGCCTAAAATGATATGCGGCAAATCGAAGCCGAAAACATTAATAATTCTTTTTTACCTTTTTTCCGATAATTTATTCGCATTATCATTTGATTTTTATTTTTTTCCCATTTCAATCACTACATTACACACATTTGAATAACAATAGCCTACCGACCGACCGAAAAAAAATCGCATAAAATGTATTGTATATGTGTTATGGGCTTTTATTCATCTTTGAAAAGGTTACATAATAGTTTCATTAGAAGTTAACCCCTTAACATTGCTTAAGATAAACGAGTTTAACTTAACGTTGATGGTGTTGTTGTTGTTGTTTTTTTTCCTCTCGTCCCGATGCAATAAAAATGCAACAACAATACAATGCAATTCACAGAGACACCAACCAATCTCTGAATCTAATGCACGACAATATGAACGTAGATGTGTGTACACAGATGCCACAGTGCTAACATCACGGCGCACATCTCTTGCATTTCGAACACACTCGAATAACACGCACGCACACACACACACACATAATATACACACAATGCATCAAATCGGCATATAAAAAAAACAACAAAACACCGCACTAAGGTACAAATGTAAAAAGGCAACATATTGATGTGAACGGGATGTGAAACAAAACACAAAACAAAAAAATCCTCTACAGAAAAAAAACCTCTAACCCTTTCTTGTACCCCATAGAGATATTTAATTTATTCATTTTTCTTATTCAGGAAAAAAAGAATTATTAATGCGTGTTTGTTATACGTATGGATGGATACCTTATTTTAATATATGCAAAACGGTAAAAAACGGATGTTCAAGTTTACTTTCATTCTTCCTCCTCTCTCTCTCACTCTCTTTTTATTTTAATATTCAAATGCAAAACCTGAATTCAATACCCGGCAGAGAGTCTCTCTGTCGTTTGATCCTGACATTCAAACTTGAATTGGTGGTATGTGTAATCAAATAAAAAAAATTAATGAAACATAGATATTCCAGTAGTATTCTATTTCCCTTTCCTTTTTTTCAATTTCAGTTGAGCCGATTGTGTAGTCTCTCTCATTTGTTGAGGACAAGTAATGTTTGCCACTATCCTAAAATTAGTCACTTCGCGCTTCTTGTAAAAAGTAAAAGTGAATACAGAAAAAAACACCAGAAACTTGAACATTATAAACTTTTCTACGCGCATTTCACATCCATTTCTTCCGCGAAAATAAATGTCGATTTCGTCATACCTTCAAATTA